TTAAATGTATAAACTTCATCTTAGTACAAAAAGAAAAAAAAAAGCCTCTATAGGATCTGGTTTTAACTTATTTCCATTTTTTTTTCACCCTCAGACAAAGCTGAAAGGGGAACATAAAATCAGCCCGATAGTGGAGTCCTGGTGCTTTCCCTGTGAGGTACCGCCACTGGGCTAAGCACGTGACATGCATACTCTCATTAGGAGGGTCCTTTGAGGAGCCCTATTTTGCCATCCCCATTTAAAAGATGAGGAAATGAAGCTTAGGGGTAAGATAAAGTCTCATCCCAGACCCCAAGGCTGGCAAGTGGCTGAACTGGATAAAAATCCAGGTTTGTCCATTTCAGAGCCCAAGCTCTTAGCTCTAATGTCACATGCCCTGAATGACAACTTACCTTAAATCTTAAAGTTTGCAGAAGTGTTGAAAACCTGTCAGAAAGGTATGCACTGGAAGATATCTAACAAAAGAGTGTCACAATCAAAATGTAAGCATGAAGGCTACAGCATAAGATGAATGGAAAAACTAGCAGGTATGAATGTTTTCATTGGAGAAATCTGTAGGTGTTTTTTTTTCTGGGGAAAAAATGTCCAAGATCTGTCTGATCTGTAAAATACTTTACAGATAATAACTATGGCTAATTTGTACTGAGCTTGAACTGTGGGTATGCCAGGCAGCACCATTCTAAAAACTTTATATGTAAAAACACATTTACCAGCACAACGAGGCCAAGTAATTTGCCCAAAGTCACACAGCTAAAACTAGGATGACCAAGTAAAGTTCATCAATGTTAAGCAACTTGCTCCAAGGCCATAGAGCTGTCAGCCATGGAGCCAATAGACAAATACAAAGAGGTCTTCACTCCTTCTGTCTGTGCTCCTTCCACTAGGTATTAGTGTGGTCCCATCTGCACTCACTACAGCCCAAAACGAAATGCCTACATGCCTCAGGGCTGGCAGGATAAAGCAATATTGCCTGAAGAGCAGGGATCCCATCTAAAGGAGCACAGTTTCCAATTCTTCAAAAGAACAGAGAAATCTAGATCTTGATATACATTCTCCAGATTTTTAAATATTGCCTCAATGTTTTCTAAAAAAGCATCATGTGGGCCAAAAAAAACATGTCCATGGGCTATCAGCTTGCAACTTCTCTTTTTTAAGAGTCTGAAGTCAAAAGATGGGCTGTCTCATATCCAAAATGCCAGAAATCAGAGCTGCTAGGTCACACTGACTCACAAGTCCTCTCTCCTTTCAAGAAAGATTTACACTGGATTTGCCCTAGATTCAAACTTTTACCTTGGGTGACTCCCTTGTAGGCCCCTCCTCACTCTGGATTTGCAGCCAAGAAATATCTATTCAAGTTACAGAAACTGCATATGAAATTTCACATATTTAAGATTCCTTCAGATGTCTTTCAATCCCTTTTTTTAAAAGTTACCATACATGAATGCAGTAAAATAAAGCACTTTCCACATCCAAGTCTGTTGACTGTTAAATCAAACTCATTCTAGAGAAAATGCAACAGTCACGTTGACCACTGCCTGTGAGGGGTCCCTGGACTGCAGTCCAGCTTCAAGAATTCCGCTCAGGACACCACAGCTCATTTCCTGGTGTCCTTTAATCAGCGGGAGGAGACATGAGGAAATGAGTCCAACTCCTTACAGCAACTTCCAGCGGCCAACTACAATGGCAACAAAATCCATCCGCACAATGACATCTGCATGTGAACATGCTCCAGGGGAGGCCCTCAGAATAAGTGACACCTTCTGAAGAGCATTTGTTTGGGGGGAAGAAAGGCTATGAGTAGTAAACTGCCGTATCTCATCGTGCCCATGCAGGGTAAATGGCCAGTTACAGGACCCATTCATTCATTACTGGGGGTTTTCTCTTTCACAAGTAACCCTATACAGCACTAAGACCACCTAGATATTTTGGGAGTGGGGGACGGGGAGAATGTCAACCAATTTACACCATCATTTTAAAGATGGCTTAGGTTCATTTCTGAGGGACCCTAACTGGAATGGGGCAGCTCACACCTTAAGCCCTCACACCCAGGGTCAAATGTCTTCATAATCCCCAGGGAAGCTACCATTTAATGATGCTCCCCCCACACCCCCAGTGAACACTTCCCTCAGATAAAGAACACAACTCAGACACCACAAGACAGGCAAATTCTAGATCTTTTTCACCAAAATTGGGGAGGTAATGACCTTGGCCATCCTTATCCCAGAACCTTCAACAATGTTTTACATTAACAGGTACTCATTAAACAGTTCGAAATGAATCTCACTTAATTGATTTTGTTAAGTCATATGAATGAATATACAACTAGGCATATGGGCCCAATCTCAGGCTTCATCACTGATTTTGGGGGGAACTGACTTATCCTCAGTCAGTTTCCCCATCTGTAAAATGGTAGGGATGTTAATAGTACTACCTCCATGGCTTGTTGAGGACTGGAAACCAGGTAAAAGGCCCAGCAAAGGGCTTGTCCCACAGCTTCCAATTAAAGAGCAACAACCACAGTATAATTCACATGTAATGTGAAATTTAAGGCACATCAGAAAATGAATTATAACAGCACAACATACATGACTTATAAAGTCCTAGGAAAAAATGTGTGGATGAGTGGGAAAGACCGGAATGGAGACACATGAATTTCTGGGATCCTTTTATAAGACCATTCCATTATTTCCAATAGGATATCTACACTGTAGATAGTCCATGTGTCCAGCTGTGGGGGATGACTCTAGCTTCACACCTGCAGGAACCAGGAGAAGATATGATTCACTGTTCTTTGCAGGTTCATTCTGCATTCTGCTGGGCACAGGAGTT